GTCACAGCCTACAAGTTCAAGTCCTTGTGTATTCAATAGTCATGAAGAAAGTACATGTGCTACAGGTAGCAATCTGTTCTTAATTTCATATGCTCACCTGAAAAATAAAAATGTATTTTGAAATATGGCCGATACAAACATTTCCTTTTCACTCTGTAGATATTTATACAGTACATGAGGCCCTTTGTGAATGATCTGACTGGCACAGTAGACATGAAGTATAATAGAAATGGTGTTGGTGCAGCCATAGTTCACCTGAGGGTGAAGAGTCTGATGGGACTGTAGGAGGACTGAGATAATATCCAATGGGGAAATACTGAAGGCACATCAAGTATGTGTGCATACCCCTTCAATGCCAAGGGTAGCATAACCGTGTATAACAACTGACAGGGGCTGACATACTAGTAGGTACCATATCATAGTTACATACATAGTTACATAATATTTGAGGTTGAATAAAGACATAAGTCCATCAAGTCCAACCTATATCATGACTTAAAGGTTTGCCCTATATGGAGCAACCCACTAATAGGGATGAGCTTAGTTTCGGACTGAACCCAGTAAGAACCTGAGCTCCTCCAAACCAGGAAGTGCCATCGGGCTAGGGCATTCTCCACCTCGCAGCACTGAGAGTATATGCCAGCCCCATGCTTACAGGTGCACAACCCGGAAAGCAGACTGTCTACATTCAACGTTGTGCGCCCATATGCAGGAATGTGTTCACACAAGTCCAACACATGCCCATTGACTTATATAGGTGGCTGTACACAGCACCTGTGGCTCCTTGTGGAAATACGCCAGAAATGATGTTCTACGGACAGAGGCTGACATGGGCATAAGCCCTTAAACAAATCAAAGACTTAGAATTGTTTGGGTGGCTCGTGACTGGTGACTAGGGAACCTAAGCAACATAGTTGGACGTTTGCTTCCAAAGTTCAAAACATTAAAATTATAGAACTTCCTCTATTGATCTCCCTTGCCTATCTGCGTGTCGGGGGATGCTCCATTTGCATCAACATGCCCAACACATTCACAGCAGTGAAAGGAGATGAAGAGAGAAGTTTCCCAGCAATGGAACATTGTGGTTCTGTAAGTAAGTGCAACTTGGCAAACAAGGCTACCCTACCTTTATTATATACTAAAATGAATTGGTTTTTCATGGTGTCTATAACATAAAACGCATCTCTGCGTGCACCAAACACTCACAATGCACATGTTGAAGGATGTCCATACAGTCTTGGACATTCAGTGTTGATGCTGTTGGTCCTGCTTCTTTGGCACTGAAGGGGTTGAAGCTTACATTTAGACGTTACCCATTGTAACTACTGACCTCAGATAGAATATATAACAACTGGATTAAATCTCAGAGTCCACGGGTGAGTTCGCCACTGTGCTCCCACCAAGTTATCCACGTCATCATATTATTGTCATACACTGGGGGGAAACAGGAGGCAGACACAGAGAAGAAATCAATACATATGTAGAAATATATTCTCCGTCCTTGAGAGCCTGCAGTACACCGACATCTGAGGAACGTCGGGGAAAAGCCCACTTTCCTCTCACAGTTTTCTGATGTCCGTCTATAGAAGGTTCGGTATTATTCATACTGGGCCTCATCTATCAACGTCTCCAATACAATCTGCCTGTGTTCTCTAAACCAACCAATCTGATCATTTTATAACTGGCAATAATGATAATAAAAGCTACAAGCTGATTGGTTGCTCTGGGCAGAACACACATTTGTTATTTCTGATGGTTTAGTAAATGAGGCCTGAGTTATCACAGACTGAAAATGAACATGTCACATAGCACTACTGTGAATGGGGTCACAACATAATCAACATTTTGCTCATAGACATATTTTAGCTTCACAGTTAGGGATGGACAGGGGGTGCCGCGAGGTACATAAAGGATGTAAAAATGAATATTTATCCTTTTCTTGAAAAAAATATATTTTATGGTAGGCTCAAGAGCAAGGCCGGAATGCAGAGCACACAGGGTCAAACCACATTGAGGCTGAGCCAACAAATGTACAGGAATGAGGAGGAAGAAGTTGAAGCTGCATCAACCGAGCCTGGGCATAGTTAAAGCAGAAGTATATGCACAATGCTAAATTCACAAGTGTGGACTGTCTTACCTATCAAAAGATTATAATTCTGTTCAGCTAGTTTTCTAGTTCAGATACCCCTGGCAGACAGCACAGCCCTATTACTGTAGAACACATCGCACAGGCCAAACCCTGGCTGGAGCTAAACCAAGTAAACTCTGGGGAATGCTGGATTAAGGCTGCCATTAGACATTAGATGATGGTTGGACATATGGTCTTACGGCAAAAGATCCCCTCAGCAGACAAGGCTCTTCTAACTGAGCAGGTTTAGGTCAATGCCTGGGGGCTCTGCTTATCTCAGAGTAGAACAACAGCAATCAAGATTGGTTTTCTAACCTGCTACTGAGTAATTATTAGTAGGGTTGCACAGATACCAAGTACATGACTCGGTACAAGTACGAGTACAAGTACCGATACTTTTGAGCTCCAAGACTAGACTAGAGAACAATTCAAAAATTAGGAGGCAGCTGTCATTTGTAAGGAGCATACGGAGCTTCTGGGATTTGTACATCTCTGTTTTAATGTACGATTTTGTTTTTATAAATATAAATAAATTGATGCACAGATACCAGTTTTGCGAGTACGAGTACTGGTACTTGCCGAGTACTTACAAGTACGAGTACTGATACATTTTTGTTTATTGTCATGTGACAGTTTTTCTAAAACAATACAGACTAATGATTTCAGGACAGTGGTGGAGCGCCAGAGCCCGGTCCCAGCTGCAACCGCTGCAGCTCTGGTAGTTCTCATGAAAATGCCAAGTATCTGCACTGGTACTCAAAAAGTATCTGTGCATCCCTAATTATTAGGGATGTTCAGATATCAAGTACCGTACTCGGTATAAGTACACATACTTTTCCAGCTCCAAGAAAAAAACCTCAAAAGTTAAGAGGCAGCTGTCATTTGTAAGGAGCATACGGAGCTTCTGGGATTTGTACATCTCTGTTTTAATATGATTTGTGTTATATATATATATAAAAATTAAGGAATTAGGGATGCACCAATACCATTTTTTCCAGACCAACTACCTCACAGATACCAGTTACTAATACCTTTTTGTTTATTTTCATGTGACAGTTTTTCTACAACAATACAGACTAATAAACTTATAAGAATTTAAAAAACTTAGCGCCAGAAACAAGTGACCTAAGCAGTGAGCACTGATCCAACGAATGAAGGAATAACTAAAAAAATATTGTTAATATTTTTTGAATACAGACTAATGATTTCAGGACAGTGGTGGAGCGCCAGAGCCAGGTCCCAGCTGCAACTTCTGCAACCCTGGTAGTTCTCATGAAAATGCCAAGTATCTGCACTGGTATCTGAACATCCCTAATAATTATATCTTTTTATCAAGTTTTGGGTTTATGTGTATGTTGATTATGTGATACTAAACTCAGGAGTTGAATTTTAAAAATACATTCAAGTATCTTATCTATTAATACAATTGTATCTTATTTGTGTATCACTTGACTGTCCTTCCTTCTGGAGGGTGGCTACTTTTCTTCCCCATGGTCCCTGTGTGTGTTGTAAAGTAGCCAACACTCTAAGATCACTTCCAGGACAAATTAGTACACAAAAAGTGAGTGTGTAGCAGTGGTGGAACTACCAGGGTCGCAGAGGTTGGAGTTCCTCCACTTGGAGGGGGCCCAGGACAGGAGGAAGGGGCCCCTGGTGACCGCTGATTACCAGGATATTTATTATCCCGGTAACCGCGAATGTCATTCCCGGGACCTCTTCCGCCTGTCCTGGGCCCTACATGCTTCACGCTGCTTCCCTCACCTTGTTAATTCAATGCCTAATTTTAGTCTCACTTTAACAGCACATGCATTTGTAGACCAGTTATACCAGTGCACACACATTGTGGATGATTCTCTTCATTTGGCATGACTGGAAAAAAAAACAACATGTCAATGATCCAAACAGGAAGCATGACCAACTTTTTCTAACACAACCAATGCAAAACACGTTGTTGTAACCAATACTGATTTTTGTTGCTTTCCCGTACAACAACCAGCTTTAGGTGACTTCTAGTGACATCAACATTTTTCCAGCCTCGGCCTCCTGCTGTATAAAGAGCACAATGTAACATTAGGTTTAAATTAGCTGAAGATGTCCCAGGTCAATAGTGTGCAAAGTCTTACAGTTCATTTTTTTTCAGAAAGCAGCCACAGCCTGAGCAAAAAGCCCGTCCATTGCCAGCATGCCGCTGAGAAGGACCTTCTACGTAAAAGCAGTGGTGTCTCAGCAGAGGTTCAACATGTCCCCTGCTAAGTCATTATCATAGTTTTGCAATCAGAAACATTCATGCTGCATGCTGACTGTGGAAAATCTAGCTCTGGCTCAGCAGGGGGGAATTGTTGGACCTCTCCAGAGAGTCCACTGCCTACACACAGAGAGCAAGGGTTCTTCTCTGCAGCATGCTGGCAGGGAACAGGCCTCTTGATGAACTGTAAGACTTTGTAAACCTTTACTGATGCACCTGGAGCATATTTAGCTGATTTAACCAGAAGGTTCCATTGGTATTAATGGTACAGGAGGTGAAGCTTTGTTGGTGTGGAAAATATCACCCTTCCAGGATAGCCTGAAACCTTCAAAACTGAAAAATAATAAGGGCCGTACCTACATACAGTACTTTATAGCAGACCTATACTGTCCTATAATGTCTACATAATCAATCCCCTGAGTAATTATAAAAAATGCTACAGAGATATCAGCAAAACACACCCTTCCCATTGAATCCTCCAAATTATTCTCACTTTCTATGCCAGTCATGTAACCTACACCAAAGAGAGGATGGTGTTCAGCAGGACCAGATTGGCTGCTGTGTTTTATCCGGCTGTACAAAATTAGAATTATCCTTTCACATCAAATCCCAAAGGCCCTTTGGCACAAACCATGCGATCATGTGACCATTGCCTTGGCACCGTAGAGGAGAAGACTTTGAGGGCAAATGGTATTTGTGATATTTCTGTAACTTCCTGTATAACTCAAGCATAAGTAGACAGTATGTGTCTGCTTTCATGTCATTGTAGCGCTATGCTTATAACACAATGGTTCCTATATTGAATTGCAGACAAGATGAATTGCATAAAAGTCACAGTCGCAGTAGGTCAAAAACGGGTATACAAGTATTGTTACTTAGCACCGTAAAGTATCAGGGAAAGCAGATGCCTCCCCCTGCGGCTGACCGGCCAACATTGAAAGCAAATATACAATGGTGTCTCTTGGCCCTCTAGTCGGGCCCACAAGATTTCGCCTGCTCAAAGCTAGGCTGGCCGAACTTGCGCCAAAGAGGTTAATAAATACCGTCTCTTCTGAATATATAAAATATAGAATTTGGTGAGGCAGGGGGTCGGGGAGCGGGAGAAGTGCACGCTATCGGTTCTCGGACGACCTGGTTCTCTGCAAGGAATGGGAACAGGAGGAGCAACACGCTTGCTTGTAGTAGGCATAGACGCACAGACGGGCTTGGACCACCACTGCGCAATTGTGATATCGATCTCGGCAGTTCTCATCTGGGTGGGGAAGATAAAAGTTTCATTAGAAAATATATTTTAAAAAGAGAAGTTTGCAGAAATGAGGATAAGGCAAATCTGTGGGCATTTCCATCAGTAGAAACTGACTGCCGACCACATCTTTAGACAGAGAAGCCAGTTGACTTTCGGTGGGGCTAGGACATCAGGGCAAACTGGAATTAACCAACGCAAGACTAAGGCCCATATGAAAGTAATAAATACATGATTTAATATAATTATTTTTGTTTATAAGCAGCACATATGTACAACCAAGACAGTATCACCTAAAAAGCCAGATTGGTATTATAAAATAGTAATCAGAACTCTCATGGTTGCCTCTTCTCTTTCCTTGCCTTCATAATGGCCAGTAAGGCCATCAGTTGTAACCAATAGGGAGGTAAGAGAAGAGGAGTCGGAAAGGCAACAGGATGACCATAAAGCCCCACTTAGGGAAAAATATGACCCCACCCCCAACCAAGCCTGCAAGGATTTTTATTTTGCTTACCTAGTGAAACAAGTTATGCTCACCTAAGTAGCGAGGGATCAGTGCTACAGATGGTCCCTTTCTGGCCGGTTTCCTGCTGTTCCTTTGTGATGACGTCACTTCTCTTTTGGATCCTGAGTTGACCCCACCACTGGCCACCTCAGCCAGCAGGAAGTGCACTAGTCATTGTTTGCATAAAAAAGCAACCTAGTTTTTGGGGTCACACTGGCTACAACCAAGGGTATGGTAAGGAAAGCATTTTGGAGGTGCTGTATTAACACTTGCCAGTCAGGGGCAAGGCCTCATGTTAGCTGTACTAACCCTTGGTTGTAGCAACAGTGCCACAGTCACCCGGAAAGAAAATCGGCTAGTATGTAAGCAGTGACTAGAGCTCTTGTGATCGAACTGTGACCATTCCCAGTCCTTTTGCCTCTCTATTGTCTACATCTTATGGCCTAACTGGCCAAAAGGGAGTTGGACAACCGTGACAGTACTCTTTATGGCTTCATAATAAATGGACCCGGCTTTTTGGCGTACCGAGGCTCCCTTGCATGTGTTATCACCCAGAGGCCAGTTTACAATGATGGTACAAGGTAACGTATCAATGGTTTGGTGGAATCTAATGGACTGAATCACTCTAGCTTCTTATATTTCTCAGTGATGGTGGTGGGACCTCTTCTAAAACTGTCACATCCTCCTAGTCTCATGTCACTCATACTGTTTGGGCTGGGGGAGCCCTACTGTTGTACTCTCTAAAATGTCAAAGATATGGGAATTTAACAGGGGCCAGTAGTGGCCACAGCAGGAAGAGCTGGGAAATCCAATGTAGAGGTCTTAGAGCTGCAGAAAATATATATATATATATAGCTGGTGTGGTGGACCTACCAATACATTTATATAAATATATACATGCTGAGGTCAGTAAAAAAAATACAAAGCAAATGTTATATAAGCTATAATTCCATGCCAATTCTACATGCAGCTCTCTTGTAATATGCCAGTAGTCAACCGTGATAATAAGGTGAAGCTGGTCCTACTTCTTAGAACAGTTTAGGGTGTTGTGTGGCCATTTTGTTCACCTATGGCAGGTGTTTGGAGTCCTGGAGCAGGACTTACATTTTTTGGTGACATGATGTAATTATTTTTTTTGCCACTAATGGACAGGTTACCTTTCTTACAAAATGAAAAACATCTTTAAAAAAAAATTAAAGGAGACACTTCATCAGAAAAATATGTAGTCAGCCATTGTTAACCTCCTGAAATCACTAGCTGTCTCGCTGTCAAGATTATTCCTTGGCTTTGAGATCTTCTAAAATGCTGGTCTCGAAAAAATATGCAGATCAGCAATTTTTTCTTCAATGATCAGTCTAAAAGCATTGAGGCCAGAGGATTAGCATAACAGCAATGCATCTGTCATCTATAGTAGGAGGCGGAGCACAGCAACGGGGAGGCACATATTTCTGCTATAACAGGTTTCTACGATCAATTCCACCTTGAGGTAGACTTTAGTATTCTGGACCATGTCTATAATTTGGACCTTTGTTAGGAATGGGGAGGACTGGTGTTAATTTGGACTATCGATATTAAAGGGGTTTTAGTGCACCAACCACATCAAAAGAAATCGGAAAGGATGACAAGCTTGAAAATTAAAGTGTAACTCTGCCCTACTTTGTCTTTTAAAGCGTATCTAAACCCATATTACATTTTTGTTTGTGGGTTTAGATACGCTTTAAGTCACATTTCACTTTATAGATAGTTTTAATTACCTTTTATATTTCCTCACAACATTACAGATTTTGAACAGTCCTCTGCACCCAATGAGAATGGTCAAACATTGCTACTCTTTGTCCCCAGAAGTCTGGAGCTGATGACGGTACGTTCACTTAGCTGCATTGCCGATGTAAACATGCCATCATTCACCATAGAGTGTAGGCAGCAAACATGGCTGCCAACCAAATATGAACACTTCCCTCTGGGAACAATGTATACTTCATAAGCCTGTATAGACAGTATAGCCAATGAACGCTATTCAGAAAGTCCATTATCTTACTGTCCGGATTGAAAGTGACAGATTTGGAATAAATATGGAGTTACACTTTAATATACCCCTATAATGATGGGATTAATGGTAGTTTTATTATGCTGACACAAGCAGCAATGATATTGGTGGCTGTCACTGACACTCATGTGCACCGCAAAGCATTCAGCGTTGTTTTATTAACCTCTTAGCTGCCGGAGAAGCCTGCACTGCTATATCAGTTGGAGGTGGGACAGTTGTCTCGGTCTCCTCACCTAGTGCGGCGGAGCAGGGCTGCGTGTTGCACATTCTCTTCTCATCCGGCTTGGAATCCAAGTCACAGTGCTGACTGAAGCGCTTGTCGGCTGTTAGACAACGAACCTCCCTTACCTGGATACCACCGAGGCAGGACTGTGAGCACTGGAGGGAGCAAGAAAGACGGTGAGTTATTTTGAATATGAAGAAGTTGAACCCCAAAATAAAACTTTATCTCGAGCCAAAACTTGTTAAAAGAGTTAAAACCACTGCCAGGATACTATTTTGCTGTCTGTGTACCATTGGAAAATGTTCCTTCACTTCCTGTCCCAGAGACACAATAGATAGTTAGAGGAACTCTCCTAACGTTAAGGGAATCCCCCTCTTATACACTTGTCCCTGGAACAGGTGTCGTAATTGGAAGATTTCCCCTCACCTCTTGTTATGGAGACAACTCTAAAATGTTGGATGCCCACTCACTTTCTTTCTCGGTGACAATAGTCATGGGTTCAGGTAGAGGGGTAATGCCCCCAATACAGACAAAGACAACAATAAAACCTAGACAGAAGTTCTAACCCTTCCCCACTCTATCCATAACTTTACCTAGAGATACACTTTGAGTTTTCCATAGAGGAACCCAGTTCTGTGAACCTGTTACTTTTCTTTGCATGGACAAAGCTCGAGTTGACATCTTTGGATGGCTTTGCTTTCTCTCTCCCACTACCACTTAGGGTACCCCTATTATAGTTCTGATTTCTCTGTCTGTACATCTTTAGCATATACGTTTCCCAGAATTCCTCTTTATAAGCAGATTTATCACACTGATACACTTACTGTGCTCCAGGGTGATGTGAACCAACGTGATCCACATGGTCCAGCATTACATGCTTGCAGGCCGGGGGGCTTCTCAAGGTGAGTGCACTCTGATGGGTCCGTCACGTTGAATTCGGTCCCGAGTTTGCTGACGCAGATCACATCCCGCCTCTGTGAGCCTTCATCACAATCTGCAGAGCACTGACATACAGGAAATCAAGGAGAATTAGGATCTGTTATTTCTCAAAAGTGGTTCCTTTTCTGAATAGATATTTGTGGTCTTGGATGGTCTTGGATACTTTTAGTCTTGGATGATAAAATAAACTAACTGGAGCAGACAAAATCTGGAGCAGTTAGCAATGGCAACCAATCGGCTTCTCTCTTTAATTTTTAAAGTTTAACTGAGGAAACAAAAGAGAAGCTGATTGACTACTACAGGCAACTGCTCCAGATTCTGTGTGCTCCAGTTTTCGTAAGCCCCCCTTTCCCACTGTGTTCTGAAATCCTTCATAAATTGCCTTTTGAGGTTCTGTGGTTGTGTCAGGATTGAGTGTTACTTTAAAAACTGTTAAGGCTTAATCTCTTCACTTCTCAGAGTTCTACTTTTTGAGTGGAAAATTAGCCCGGGAGGACACATTGTGGTTTAAAACAATATGGATGCTTAAGAGAAAACATACTTTCTATACAGGAGCTTCAATTTCTAGGATGGAGGAGATTGAATGAGGTGTGCTGGATCTGGAATTACCATAGATGGCTTTATTTTGGCAGATTCCGCAGCAATCAGCTGAAATGTGAGCTGTGGGTGTCCCTGCAAGCACCACCAAGCTTAACAAAAGTCGTTTGAAAGATCGACTGACCCAAACAGAAAATGATCAGCTGAACAGTGACTGTGTCCTATCAGATACAGCCAATGTTTATCTATTCAGGCTGCTAAATACAATAGCCGTCAGTGGAGGTTTCTCCATCCACTCTGTTTAGCATGGACGGGGGGAACATCATACATTCGAGCCATGTACGGCCATCCTAATATTCTCGGGGTGCTTTATCTTGCAACTGTCCATATCAAGGCTGGTGCCTGAACTGCCTGGCATACAAACAGACATTAGAGCAGACGGTTTGGGGTTTTGAGTTCGGGGAAGGGGGGGTGTGCAAGATATGTCTGTTAAGATTGTGAGGTTGCGGTCTCCAAATGTGGTTCATATTTTGGGGTGGAAAATTGAGACTTTATGGCGTGACATGTTAAGTGAGGGACACTAGGCAAGTACAGGTACGTGCATGTTAGGTGCTAGGAGGGAATTGCTTTTGGAAGGGCGCCAATGAAAAATATGATGCATGCATGCATTAACGGTTCAGAAGGGGGCTATGGGAACCATTCCTTTGCTTCCTGTATGGTATGGGTAAGTTTGAGGATAGAAGTGTTGTTGGGCACTAGGGTAAGATACCCAGTAAGTATTTCTATGTTTGTAATCTTGGTAAGACAAAGTTACTTTTATTAGTGTTTATAAGCACTTGCAACTATATGTTTGTGGCCCCATCACATCTTACCCTTATAGATACCTATGTGAACAGTATTGTTATTTTAAGACATTTTGATAGGGGTGAAATGCTTTGAAAGGGATGGCAACAAGGAAAAAGTGCTTGGTCAACAAGAACAAGAACCTGCTTGGCCTGCTTACCTGAGACCAAGGTCCTGCGTACCACTTCACTGTCCGTTCGCAGGATCCACTGTTACACACTCTCATGTCGGAAGGCTTAGTTCCCGCACAGCTTTCCTGAGACTCATCCAAGGCCGAACTAGAGAGACAGAAGACCGCACGCCGCTGGATTCCCATTCCACATTCCGAAGAACACTGCAAATGAAATAGGTAAAAGTCTAGCACTGAGGCAATCTTACAATAATAATCAGAAAGTCTTAACATTCTACTGACAGCAGGTCAGCATATCAGCTGCACAATATTGTTGGAGGATTTTAGAAGGCGTTAAGACATTAAGTGCCATATGGAGGTCACTGCTGGAAATTTAATGGCAGGAATATTTCCAGTGTTGCCATAACAAACACTACTATGATGAGTGCTTATTGGTCCCCTGGATAATGGGGGGCATGTGGCAATCCGGAAGGTCTAACTTTAGTGTTTATCTGTTACCCAGGGCTTCCCAAATGCAAAGACATGATCGGATGTGAAGGTACCTGCAGGCACTTTATTCTACATGCACATTAAAGACGAACTTTAATATGTATGTAGAACACATTAGATGTGCAGAGGTAGCCCTATTGCCCTTGCAATAGGGTTACCCCCGCACTGCAAGGCATAAGTGCTCATTTTGTCTAGGGAGTTAAAATAACAGAGTTATATTTACCCAAACCATGAATCCCGGTTGGCTGTCAGACTAGTTCCTTCAGCCTTGCTCCCCCTCTGCTCCAAGGGCCAGTGAGTCATCACGTTCATTGTAGTGTATAGATAGGATGTGAGGACGCTAAGGGACATTTCATTGCTAGAGGAGGAGACGGGCTGAAGAGACTGGTCTAGGTCATAATATATGACAAAAAACTTCAATAAATGAAGCTTTTGCTATCTTAAAAGGATTGGTGTGCTGGTGACATTTCTACAATTCTGCTGACATTTGCGGCGCCATCCGCGGTCACTGCGAGCACCCCCCACTACAAGGGACATATCGGTAAGGAGTGCGACAAGGATAGTACTTATGGTCTAGGAACCAGCCGGGATTGTGGCTCGGGTGAGTATAGCTCTTATTTTAGCTCCCTAGACAAAACAAGCACTTCACCCTTGCAATGAGGGCGTAGCTGCACTGCAAGGGTTAAGATTTTATTTGCCCAGAATTCTTCTTTATGTAAACCTACCATGAGAGAAGTACAAGGGCTACATTTCCTGACCCACTTCTGAAAATTTTAGTTGCTGGCTGTTATCCTGACCCATTGTTGCTGATACTTTCAGTCACTGACCCAGAACAAACATAAATATAAAGGAAGGTTATAAGTCCTTCAGCATACTTCAGATCAATGACTCAAAGTACTGAAGCAAGAAAAGCAACATGGCAGCCAGGCAACTGGCACGTTGAGAAGGAAAGCTCAGTAATGGTTCTCTTATCTAGAACAAGGAGAGATGAGGTGCTGGATTCAAAGTAGATCGATCTGATTATGACAAAGCCCACTGGTTCTGGTGAGGCCACTCTTGACAAAAATGGGGTGTCACTCAGACAAGGGGCCCAGAATTGATGATTAAAGTCTAATGAGAGCGCCAAACAAACAGTCCGATAGTCCTACAACTTGTAATATTGGTATTGGTTCACAAAAGACAACATAGACACCCAACACATTTTGGGGGCTCAAAGACCTCCCCCTTCTTCAGGGCTTAAAGATGACGGGTAGTAATATGGGCTCAAAGCTGGCACAAATCACCAAGAGTTAATTAGCTGTTGTGTAGGGTATAGCCAGAACCAATCAATCAGCAAAGGTCTGATTGTGTCCATGAGTGATGGATCTCTCTGATCGCCTTCTGTGGTTACTATATGTTTGTTCTTTGCCTTATGACGTCAGTCCATCTGTCAGTAATGAGAGTCACCATCAGTAATGACTTACCGTCGAGCTCCATTCATTGTGAAACCAGCTGCGGACGCACGGCCCCATGTCACAGGCCTCGTTGGTTCTAGGTTGGAGGCGGTTGCTGCACTCTCCCTCGCCAACTATGTCTCCTTGGCTACTTATGCAGCGCACGTGCCGCGTTCTCTGTCCAATGCCGCACATGACCGAGCACTATGGATACAATGATGAAGAATGATCAAAGGATAGCAACTGCAGGGGATGGCTGCCCACAAACAAACCTCCCAGAATAAGCACAGCACTTGGTGGTTAGCACTTCTGCCTTCCTGCACTCACCAGTCCAAATCCTGACCAGGACACTATCAGCATGGAGTTTGCATGTTCTCAAGAATTTATTCCCACACGTCCAAGGCATGCTGATAGGTTAATTAGCTCATATCTATTCTTTTATTATTGACAGTTCAGGAAAGCAGAGACTAGCTGTCTCATCACATTTATATGGGGCGGACATACTTGACAATTGCAAGTTATGTTAGTAAGTTAAAGCACCAGTCCACTCAAAGCTGATATTTTAAAGAAGAACCCCGAGCATTATTACTCTTAACCCTTGCAGTGGGGCTTCCCCTGCACTGCAAGGGTTAAGTGCTCGCTTTAATCTAGGGACAAAAATAAGAAAGTTCTACTGACCTGAACCTCCAAGCTGGCTGGCTGCTACTTGGGTCCAGTGAAGGAGTGTCCCTCATCGTCCTCACATCCTACACACTGTATAGGACATTATGACTCACAGGATTTTAGACCACTAGAGTGAAAAGGGAGCAATGGGGCAGGGACTGGTCATACAACCGGCTGCAAGGTTCAGGTGAGTATAACTTTATTTAGCCCTAGACAAACACAAGCACTTAACCCTTGCAGTGGGGGTGGAGGGTAGCCCCCGCTGCAATGGTTAAGAATAATTATGCCCAGAGTTCTTCTTTACTGGTTGGGAGATGATGATGCTGATGATGCTGATGACCTCTTCATGGTACTTTGACCATTACATTGAAGGCCAGACTGAACTTTACACTAATTCATGTAGTTTGAATTATGGTTCCTTTAGCTTAAAGTGACCCTGTCAGCACAATGAGCACACCTGCTACAAGAAGAGACTCCTGGGGCCACTGCACGGGTCAAATGGGTAAATGAGTGAGCTGATCTACTGCAAGAACCACTTCATTGCTTCTGGTGTGAGCTTTGAGGATGGCATGCTACATAGTGGTTGCAGGTACAGAAGTCACTGATGACCTGTTGTATAGTTCATTTAGTGCTTGGTAATAAGATGTAAATATTTTACTGACCATAGCCACAGGTTCACTTACTTTTGGATAATCTGAGGTCTGCATTTTGTACTCAGTATGGCATTGTTCTAGATCAGTGGTTCTCAACCTGTGTAACCTCAGGACCCACATTTGTCCTTAGTCATTAAGTCGCAATGCAATGGAACGCACAGCATTAGGGTGCCACGCGTTTCGGTGCGGGTGTACAAACTGTGGGTGGGAGGTGCTTTGGGGTACCATTCAAATGAATGGCAACGCAACACATCTCCCACACCTGCATGCATGGTAGGTGTGATTTCGTGGTACAGTTTAACGCACTGTACTAGTGTGAATGGGCCCTCAAAAACACTGACGTGCATACGCAGACAATCTCACACACTCCCAGACATTCTCACACACACATACACACTCCAAAACTTTTCTATTTTCCACCCAGTCTCCCTGTTTTACGAGAACTGGAGTGGATCCTCAGTCTGGGGTCCATTGTGGGCTGCTGTGCTGTGCCAGAGCTCCATCTATATGTGCATTGCTTGTACAGCTTCCTTGCGTGCCCTGTAGAGATGTCGGGAGCCAGAATGTGACGTTACTCCGGTCCAGTCACCTCTATAGGCACGTGAGGGAGCTGTAAGCAATGCACGTATGGATTTAGCGGACATAGCCCCATCCCATCCCACCTCAAGCTGAAACTCGGCACCGAGCAGCATATTCTGAATGGTTGCTTGGCGCGAGAACTGACAGTGCTGCTGAGGAGCCTCTTACCTAGAAAAGTGGAAGGCATGTGGCGACCCACTCAACATGGGGTCGCGACCCACTTTTGGGTCATGACCCACCAGTTGAGAACCAAGGTTCTAGAGGATTCTGGGATATACAGGTCCTTACCGTGCTCCAGTTGCTCTGGATCTCCCAGTGGCTGCAGATACGAAGTTGACATGTCTGAGTCACATTGGGTTTGGGTAGATGGCCACATCTCTGTGGGTGGACCATAGTGGTGCGATTGGTGTACATCTGCCGGCAGAGGACCTGGCGTTGTTGTATTCCGTGGCCACATGTCCGGCTACAGACTGACCAATTTCCAACATCCCAGCTGCGGGGAACAAAAAAAGAAAGTAAATGTCATCATGGAAGACTGCTGGGACACAGAAAGCTGTCAGAAGAAGCTGTCTGCACTGGCTACACAGTGTCTATCACTAGGGGCATGGAGACAAAGGACATTCTTCCTCCTGCCTGCAGTAAACCGATGGCACAATTTTCCCATTGTGTTACTTTTAGGTAGACCTGGAGAGACCGAGCCTAGGGACCATCACCTGACACAAAAGCTCAATGAGATATATATATATATATATATATCTCAATATATATATAGAGAGATATATATAGAGAGAGATATCTATATATATATATAGATATCTTTCTCTCTATATATATATAGAGAGAGATATCTATATATAATGATACTATTTCTGTATACTGTGACTCACTACAGTCACATTTATCAAACCTCTGTTCTTTCAGACAGTCCTTTCTTTAGTGCACAGTCCCTAGATCGCCTTCATTGCATAGTTAGGTCTGTATATTATTTGGTATCTTATATGCTTGCTGAAGGAACTCATATAGCAGCAACCGTTCAGAAGTCTTTGTTTACTTATCTGAGAACAGAACAGTTGCTTTAACTGATCTAATGAATCTGATTGGCTTTTAGTTGCCCCTCTTTGCACATCATTGTGTTATTAGGGAATACACAGAAACTGGTTCTTGGTATAGAAATTTGCATTATTGCCAGTATCCACTAGATGGCGCTGTAAGCCCAATATTTGCAGTACGCAGGCAGCGTTTCGTTTCAGCTATGTCATCATGAGGCCAGCAGCGAGCTCCGAACTACTTGAAATATTATACTGTACAAATAATAGACATGGAATTAAAAAAGCTTATATGTTTTATTCTGGAATCCTGTGTAAATGTGTATTTAACCAGCCATCTTGAAAATGTCAATTAAATAAATAAAGACTGGCAGTTCGAATCATGAATCATGAGATCCACAAATGTTGGACACAGATCAGCCCCCCCGCAGCTTCTCACCTTGTGACTTGCTACAAAGTTACTGTCTGATCTCTAGAATAGAGCAGCAGACCAATGACATCATCTGAGCCTGGACAAAGTCACTTGCATGGAGCTTTTTTTGAAAAAGTTTACTGTTGCTACAAATTGTGACACGTCACAAGTTTATTGATGCAGATTTGGAACGTTACTGAAAGGTAAACCTTGATAATATCGGTAACAAGTTCATTTGTACTGGCCAGGTGCCATTCCTAGCTGAAAATGAAGACTGTAGGTGCCTTTCATAACGTTAACCTTTAGATACAATCTCTACCTTGTCCTCCACAGATCAATACTTACCAAGATCCAAGGGTTGCTGCTCCGCTGTGTGTTAACATTAAGCTCTGCAAGTCTCCCTCTCCTGACCGCATTAGGAGATGGCACCATAGAAGTATTTGGAGCTGTAATATGTAGATGTGGCCAGTAGAGGGAGCAGTGCAGCACCGGATGTAAACAGTAAAGGAATAAGATCCATGAGATCTCGGTAAATACGGATCTGACGAGGGGGAAGGTGGGATTCTTCAGGTCAATGGTGGGGGGCAAAACGGATAAGTGCATTTTGTTTAAAAGTTCATTTGTAAAATCTGCAGTATCAATGATGTTAGCAGTAATAGCTGATACATTTTTAGGAAGTGATTAAGAAACATGGAGCAGCTCTACCCTCCTGACTCCAATCCCGTTGCTTGAACCTCAGTGCCTGGTAAAGCTTCTGCTGGAGACTTCAAGACTGGAGGGCAGAACATCTCTTATATGCAGTGTGCTGGCAGTAAAGGAGTGATGTGTGGAAAGCAGGACTATCATTACATCTAGGACGATTTGCACTTACAAAGCAGGGCAGGGCTGAGTATTGCAGGCCTCCTCCTGAGGGAACGGCTTGCTGGATAGATCGCATTCCTCCTCGCTAACCTCATCCAGAGAGCTCTTGGAGACGCACTGATAGTTGGGGTACCAGAACCCTATAAAACAGAGGCATTAAGAACTTAACATTGACACCACAAAGCTCCTAATTGGCTTATCATCTTTCACCTTGACTTTTGCAACTCCCTTCTCGTTGGCCTGCCTCTGCACAGACTATTCCCCCTTTAGTCTACCACGAATGCTACTGCCAGACTCATCCACCTGCTCAACCGTTCAGTGGCCATTGGCCCCTCTCTGCCAACCCCTCCACTGGCTTCCAATACCCCAAAGCAAAATACTAACAAATAAAGCGATCTGTAATAATGCCCCGAGATATATCATTAACATTATTTGAAAAAAACACCCAAACCGTCCTCTCTGTTCCTCCTGAGACCTCCTGCTCTCTAGCTCCCTCATCACCTCCTCCCATGCATGACGTCTCCAGAGCCTCTCCCATCCTCTGGAACTCCCCACCCCAACCTGTCCAGCTGTTTCCTTCTCTGTTTGCCTCTAGGCGATCCTTGAAAACCTATATCTCCAGGGAAGCCGAACCCACCTCCACCTAACAACTGAACTTCTGCTTCCTCCATCAGTTCCTTCCTTTTTGATCGCTTGTCCCTTCCTTTTATCACGAGAGGAGCCCCCAGAATCCTCTTGTGTTGAACTGTTGTGTAACTATATGGTCTCTCCCTGGCCTGCCATATATAAAGCCTGTATATTAATAATACAGAAATTTGGCAAACAGTTCCTAAAGCCCAATTGAACTTTCAGTTTAAATGATCTAAATACATTTCAGGTGCATCAAAACAAAGGGTGAGCGAAGCCTTACAATTTTTCTTTAAAAAGCAGGCAAAGCCTGATTTAAAAAGTTAGTCCCCTGACTGTGTGCTGCATCATGGGACTCTTGCTCTCTATGTGGAAGCAGCAGTCTCTCTGCAGAGGTCCAACACATCCCATGCTGAGACAGACCCATAGCTCCAAATAACAAGGAACATTACAGAGCTATAGGAGTAGAAACCAGGTGAGCTGTAGTGTTCAGGAGCTAACAGGGAACATGCTGACAGGAGGAGGCGCTCATCAGTGTACTCCTCCTCATCCACTGTCCAATCAGCAGGCTGGGGGTGTGTTTCTAACCTGCGTTCTTGTGCTGCTACTGTACCGAGGGTTGATGACCTGGCTGATAGGGATGACCTTGTCTAATAGGGGTTCCTAAATCTCAGAACCGGCTTCACACAATTGTAAATATATTCCAATTATATACATACCACCCTAAGTGGAGTGGCTACTAAAATCTAATGTTGCTAGCACTGTAATCAGTCTGGCTGATTTGTACTTTGTTAATTTCTTGTTTATTCCAGGTGTTCTGCTATTGATTGCACCTACCTGTAGTGGAGTGTGACCCTGCCACAGAATGGGGCAGCCAAAAGGGGAACATCAGGAGTGTGTATGCTCATCAGCCAATGACTGGGAGTTTCATAGACAGTGGGACATGCTGGGGGAGTGCATAAATACTCAGGGATTGCCATGTGCTTGGTTCTCCTCTTGATTGCCAGAGGTGCTTACCTTTGCCACAAGTCACGGAGCATGGAGTGTTGCCCACTCTTTTCCAGAAGAACTGAGGCTGCTCCGGCCAATAGTGAACGGGAGGGGCAGGAAGTGGAGGGATCCGGATGTTCCGTTGCAGAGTTCCAGCTGGCCTTGCTGGTGGTGGTGGTGGTGGCCGGGCTTGGGGTACGGGGACCACATGACGCTCTACAGGAAGACTTCGAGAACTTGACTGAGGAAGAGAGTCACTGGATGAAACCGATCTCTGAGGTCCTACAAAGAGATTTTACAGCGTTTAAAGTCGGTCAAGATAGCAATTGTCTAATCACAAGAAAGATAACATCTGTAAAGGGAAAGTATGGTATATTTTTAGGCAAGTCACATCCTTAAAGGGAAAGTATAGTATATTTTTAGGCAAGTCACATCCTTAAAGGGAAAGTATAGTATATTTTTAGGCAAGTCACATCCTTAAAGGGAAAGTATAGTATATTTTTAGGCAAGTCACATTCTTAAAGGGAAAGTATAGTATATTTTTAGGCAAGTCGCATCCTTAAAGAGAAAGTATAGTATATATTTTGTCAAGTCATATTTTGCATTATTATTATGAAAGTAATTTTTAACGTTGCTTTTACTTTTTTTTACATATGAAAATTACTCTGCATACTCAAAGTTGAAGCTCAATCTAAAGCTGTATCTAGACGAAAAACACTTGTGAACGCTCAAAAGCTTAAGCTGAAATTTACACCAAATGAATTATGTAGAGTAGTGGCTTATCTCCTTCTCTACCAAAACTCTCTGTACAACTCCTTCCAAGGGAACATCAAGGCAGGCAGCTTTTGCTGTGTCTTAAGCTAACCCATGTTGCTTTGGGACTCCTCACTTGTAATGAATGTAATGTTTATTTATAAAACAAAGACTATATATATATACAGTATATATATATCTATATATATATATATACAGTATCTATATATATAGATATATATGTGTGTATATATATCTATATATATAGATATATATGTGTGTATATATATCTATATATATATCTATAGATATACATACATACATACATACATACATATACATATATACACACACACACACACACACCACAGTAAATCAGTGTTTTTATTTATTGTGCAGATTTGGAACTAGCCATCTACCTTGATTTTTAGCAAGATGACAGAATTCTAATTTAAAGTTGTATTATCTGCCATTGACCTGATGCCCAGTAAACATGGCCTATCAGACCCTTATGTACGTTGTCACAAGAGTGGCTCTTACCATGCTCTTGCTGTGGGACTGGATCAGGGTTATCAGAGCTGGGTGGAGAGGAGATGAAGTACTGAAATGACACTCCTGGATTGTCTTGTTGAAATATCATCTACAGAGAACAAAGAATAAAAAGTCAGTGACACTCAGTGGTTGTATAGTCGTATTTACACACAGAAATCTTATGTTTGTAAATCCATTAAAGAGGAACTTTAGAGAATATGGGAACCCAGAGCTCTTGCCGTAATGTGTAATATCCACTAGCCTTTATTCTTTAAGGTGCAGTAAATCATTCAGTTATAAATCACCCAAATGCTTTTACCTGCAATATTGCTAATCATGTATATGATCTTATTAAATAGAAGCTGTACTATGCCCAGACTAGGCAACAGGTTACTGGAGGATAAGGTGCAATGGAGAATGTCACATGCTCCTAGGGTTGCCACCTTTTCTTCAAGTGAAACCCGAACACTCTAGCGACGCGCAGACATGTTTTTGGTAGAATGAGTCGTGGCTTATTCATATATAAATATCGCCACCCATTCATATGTAAATATCACAGTTGAGACTATTTTCAGTGGGGGCCAGTAGCCCCTATCTTAATTTGTGTTGCCCCTGTCTGCCCGACATCTTGTGTCTGGGTTTCTGCTGCTATGAAACCTGGACACAGCATTCAAAACCCGGACTGTCCGGGTGAATCCTGGACAGGTGGCAACCCTACATGCTCCACCATACTTGGAAACACAACGTTTATGAGCTCCAATGGTGGAGGAATATGGAGAAACAAATTCTTGTGGTGCCTGCTATAAAAGTGACAACTTATTTGTCCCAAAAAAAGATTGTGAAAGTAGGAGGGTGCTCAGGATTGTGCAAATTCCTCCCATCCCTACATGACTGAATTTTGGAATGTTCTGAATTTTTGGGAGCTTCTGTGCCATATCAGGGTGGCAGAAGAGCATGGGAAAGGTACATATAGACTCCTAGCGGAGCCTGCTGTCAAGCTAACATGGCTCCTTTAAGGAGTCTATATGTAGCCTTTAACTAGATTGCACAACATACAAATGACTATAAAATATTTTCAGTCTGTAATATAACATGTTGAACACTAGCTGCCACTACAACATCTTTAACCAAGCACCGAAGGGACTTGTAGTATAGAATAATGTTGCATTCAAGCTGTGCTTTCAAATACAGGTCAACTTAAGTCTTTATAGTATTTGTGTTTAGCAGATAAAAGCTAATAGATTCAAAGGATGTTCAATAAACTTTACCATCGCTCTGTCGATCTGTGTTTCAACTCTAGGGGCAATGTGGCTACTTTTTCTGTCCTACACCATCAGATAATACAGAAGTCACAGCTCCCACTGAAAAGCTCCATTTATGTTAATACTGTAAGCAGAACACACAGTACGCTTGCTTTAATGCCATTCTCAGCATTTCTTGGCATTTCTTGGAATTCAAATAAATACAATGTTTAGCACATCTCTGCTATTTCAGTGTGATGTTCAGTAAGGTGTAGAATTTGCCAGGTTGGCTAAACAAACTTGTAGTGATAGAGCTAACACATTTTACAAAGGTTTGACCTGCGAACTTTTATCCACAGAGCTACATGTGCCATCAACTCATCAACTCATAAAGATCTCAATCACCCAAATAACTGTCACATAATGTATTTGTTTACGTATTAATCTCTGGCATCAAATCACACTTATGTGGTAAGAGTAACAATGAGTTGCCAGTAACACTGGAAATGGGTCACAGATGTTTCTAAGAGTTTACAGAAGTAACACTAGGCTGCTCCATGTGTCATTCCATTTTGAGACATTATATTCTATTTTGCCCATATGACTGCTGAATTGGTGAAAAATACTTTTACTGTATTTGTTGTCCCTGCCTGCAACCTCCTCCTGGGAACACTTTAGAAAGTTTCCATGTGTAATATTGCTCACCCCACTAATGTATATCACGGCTCCTCCTTCTGATATATGTAATTGCTCCTCCCACTCATGTGTGCCACCGCTCCTCCTTTTGATCTATGTCATTGCTCCTCCAAACCATATATGTCACTGCTCTCCCTTCTGAGGCATGTCGCTGCTGCTCCCACTTATATACGTCACTGCTCCTCCTATAGGTGTATGTCACTGCTCCTCCTATAGGTGTATGTCACTGCTCCTCATATAGGTGTATGTCACTGCTTCTCATATAGGTGTATGTCCCTGCTCCTCATATACTGTAGGTGTATGTCCCTGCTCCTCCCACTCATGTACGTCACTGCTCCAACTTCTGATGTATGTCACTGCTCCCACAATTAATGTACATCACCCCTCCTCCTTATGTATGTCATTGCTCCTCCCATTTATGTATGTCACTGCTCTTCCTTTTGATGTATGTCACTGCTCTTCCTTTTGATGTATGTCACTGCTCCCCCAATGAATGTACATCACTGCTCCGCCTTCTGATGTACGTCAGTGCTCCTCCCACTCATGTACGTCACCACTCCTCCTGATGTATGTCACTGCTCCTTCTCCTGATGTATGTCACTGTTCCTCCTTCTGATGTATGTCACTGCTCCTCCCTCCCATGTATGTCATTGCTCCTCCTTCTGATGTATGTCAATGCTCTTCCTTCTGTTGTATGTTAATGCTCTTCCTTCTGATGTATGTCACTCTTCTTCCTTCTGATCTATGTAATTGCTCCTCTTAAATCCCCATTTTTCCTGTAAACACTGAGCTCTGACTCTTGCCTTCCAAACCTTTTCAGTTGTTGGATGTGGCCACATTGACCACTACAATGGCTTGTAAAACAAAAAGGAGTGGGGTTAATTTCCACATGTGAGACTGGTTCACTTTAAGGATGTTTTCCACTTTCATATAGTTAAAAGCTTCTACAGTGTCAAAAACTTTGGCTGTGACGAGTCTTTCTTTCTACCTGAAATACACTTTGTTTCAGAATAACAAAAAGTGAAGGAATCACACTTTCCACATAGTTAGCTCATCGTTGGAAGAAAGGATATGAATCATGACATTCACCAGTGGCAAGGTTCTGAATGTCTACCAACTAGGGCACAGGTCAGTAAAACGAGGCTGAGGACTTGGCTGAAGAATATTATGCTAATTACAAAAACGGTCCTGGGGTGACATCACCCTCACTTATCCAATCACAAAGTCTCAGTTTCCTTTCTATTGCTGAGGGCAGTGTGTTGTTTTGGGGAAGGATGTGTTTTGTTAAACTTTGTGTGCCCTTATGTAGGGATCATAGGGAGCTGTGGCGATACGACACACTTATTAGATTTTATGGATTTTATTGTCTATATAATCAGTGGCTCCAGATGTGCCCCATGCCTGGCGTCAATGTATTTCAATATTCTACAATGCCTTGGGTTCAAGGGAAATGGAGCAAAGGCTATGACAATATCAAGGACATAATTGAAATGTGAAGTCAGACTTCACATTTTTTATTTGTTTAGGGTGGGTAGGTTTTAAACATCTTCAATTCGTACTAACCTTTGTGGCAGATTTTGCCTTATTTCTTGTCCCAGTTTTACCTGACACCAGGACAGATTGTTAGTGGAAATCTTTGGGTCAAATGCATAAGTAGTCCCACTGCACTCCTGGTGACTTCTATTGCTGGAAATTAAGGGGGGTGCAGAAGTTCTAACCTTCCTAGGTCCGTCAATAAAGAAGGAATGGTAGAGTGGAGATTGGTGCACCGGTGACTTCTATTCCTGGAAATTAAGGGGGGTGCAGAAGTTCTAACCTACCTAGGTCCGTCAATAAAGAAGGAATGGTAGAGTGGAGATTGGTGCACCTGTGACTTCTATTGCTGGAAATTAAGGGGGGTGCAGAAGTTCTAACCCTCCCTAGGGCTATGTCCTCTTTTTTTCCTTACCTGAAGGAGATCAGCAATGCCAGTCCATGTGTTTTCTCATGAATGGTTTTCTTTAAAGAGTTTAAAAGGAACTTGCACTGTAGACTGTATTTCATCACCTCTCCTTCTAGTCCCCTACATGTCATGCTGATCTAATGCTCCTACCACAGTTACAAAGATTACAGTGTATTATTATGTTGTACTGTCTGTTACCCCAGCCACCTCTGCAAGCCTTATAGTATTCTGCCCCTGATCCAGTGAGATATAGCCCACAATGGAGAGGTTTGGGCCAGCCTAAAATTTCACAAATGGCTATGCAGTTTCATTTTCAATATCTCACTAGATTGGGGACAAAAGACTTGCAGGGGGGCTGGCGGCGGAGGATGATACAATATAGACTTGCACTTTCATGCACACAATCAAAGGCAATTGAGTGTAAAGTCAACTAGGTAGTGTGCATGTTGAATATTCCCATTTGTAAACATATGAAAAAGAAAAATAATTTTATATACAGTGTGTATATATATATATTTATATA